TCCGAACCTGTGGCCTTGGTGTTGTCAGCACCGCACTCTCCCAAGTGAGCCACGGGCCGGCCCTTGAGTATTCTTGTATAGCCTTTTTGTGGACACGTGTTTTAATTTCTCATGTGTAAATACTAGGAAAAGAGTTTCTGGATCATATGGCAAGTTTGTGTGTAACTTTCCGAAAAACTGCCAAATCGTTTTCCAAAATGATTTTGCCACTTGTGCTCACCAGCAATGAGTTCTGGTTGCTCCACATTCTTACCAGCACTTTGGGTTGTCAGTCTTTTTTATTTTAGCCATTTCTGTGGGTGAAAATTGATAGCTCATTTTGGTTTAATATGCATTTCCCTGATGACTAATGATATTACGTGCTTATTGGCCTTTGCATAACTTCTTTTGTAAGTTCTCCTCTTTTGCTCATTTTTAAAAGTTAGGCTATTTGTCTTTTTATTGTTGATTTGTAGGATTTAAGAACTATATCCTGGATACGAGTTCTTTGCTATACATATGCACTATGATTATGTTTTCCAAGTTTGTGGCTTGTTTACTAATTTTATTAATGGTGTCTTTTTTTTTTTTTTTTTTTAAAGATGACCGGTAAGGGGATCTTAACCCTTGACTTGGTGTTGTCAGCACCACGCTCAGGCAGCGAGCAAACCAGCCATCCCTATATAGGATCCGAACCCGTGGCCTTGGTGTTATCAGCACCGCACTCTACCAAGTGAGCCACGGGCCGGCCTAATGGTGTCTTTTGATGAGCAGAAAATTTTAAAGTTGACAAAGCCTAGTTTATCCTTTTTTCTTTTGTGTCTAGTGCATTTTGTGTACTGTCTAAAAAATCTTTGCTTACTCCAAGGATGTAAAAGTATTCTTCTATGGATGCTTCTAGAAGCTTCTTGCTTAGAGCTTTCCTTTGGAGTGAGGTGGGAATCAAGATCCAGTTTTTCCTCCATATAGATATCCACTTGTTTCAGAACCATTTATTAGGCCAGCCCGTGGCTCACTCGGGAGAGTGCGGTGCTGATAACACCAAGGCCACTGGTTCGGATCCCTATATAGGGATGGCCAGTTAGCTCACTGGGTGAGCGTGGTGCTGACGACACCAAGTCAAGGGTTAAGATCCCCTTACCTGTCATCTTTAAAAACAAGAACAAAAACAAAAAAAACCTTGCCATGATTTTGATCAAGATTGCATTAAATTTATAGGCAGATTTGGGGAGAATATTCATGAACACGGGATGTCTTTCTATTTATTTAGATCTTCTTTAATTTCTCTTAGCAATTTTTTGATAATTATAGATGTCTTGCACATCTGTTTTTAGATTTCTTCCTAAGTATTTCATGTTTTTAAAATGCCATTGTCACCAGGTATTTTTTTCTTTTTTTTCTTTTTTTTTTTTTTAAAAAGATGACCGGTAAGGGGATCTTAACCCTTGACTTGGTGCTGTCAGCACCACGCTCAGCCAGTGAGGGAACCGGCCATCCCTATATGGGATCCGAACCCGTGGCCTTGGTGTTATCAGCACCGCACTCTCCCGAGTGAGCCACGGGCCGGCCATCACCAGGTATTTTTGAATAGCTAGTCAGATGATGTTGAATGTTCCTAACACAAAGAAATGACAAATATCTGTGGTGATGGACATACTAAGCACCCTTATATGATCATTACACATAGTATGAATGTACCCAAATATCATATTGTACTCCATAAATATATATAATTATCATGGGTCAATTAAGAAAAATAAATTAAAAAGGGAGAAAAAAGGAGAAAAATAGAAAGTAGAATAGTAGTTACCAGAGGCAGGGAAAGGGAGTGTGGAGGAGGATGCTGGGGACAGGTTCCTAGACTGGTGCAAAGTTACAAAGTTACCGTTAGGTAGAGGAATAAGTTCTGCTGCTCTAGGGAGACAGCAGCTAATAATGCTGTATTGTATATTTCAAGAGAGTCAGAAAACAGAATCTTGAATGTTGTAACCACAACGTTGTGATAAATGTTTAGGTGGTACATATGCTAATTATTCTGATTAGACCATTATATAATACATGCTTGTATTCAAATACAAACTGTATGCCATAAACATGTTCAGTGAAAAAAATTAATTAAAATTAATTAATTAACCCCCCCCCCAATACTAAAATTACAGTATGACATCTTTGGTGTATAAGAATTATTAAATTAGAAATAATTATGTGCACAAGTAGTTATTACAGAAAATAACCTTCTTTATCAGGTATAACAAAACAATTATATAAGCATATGAAAGTTAAATAAGAAAGTCTGAATTTAATCAGCATCAACAGTCTAAATAAATAAATAAATAAATTAATTAATTAATGCTATTATAAATAGTGTATTTTTAAAATTTCATTTTCTAATTTTTTTGTTACTGTTATATAGAAATACAATTGATTTTTGTTTATTAATTCTGTATCCTGGGGCCTGGCTGGTTAGCTCACTTGGGAGAGCATAGTGCTGGTAACACCAATGTCAACGGTTCAGATTCCCTTACTGGCCAGCCGTGCTCCCACCCCCCCTGCCAAATTTGTATCCTGGGAACTTGCAAGATAAAATAAAAGCACTTCTATGGCAAGAAATTCCAAATATTTAAAAAAAAAAAAAAAAAAAGGAAATTCCAAATATCCAAAAGTGAGTGAATACAATAAAAAACAATAAATTTCTCATCCCCATTACCAGATCTGAGTGCAGCTGAAAGCAGACACAAAAAATAGAGGATTTTACATTTTTCATTAAATATGCAAAAGCAACCAACTGTTTCTGTGAACATCTATAACATGTTGTTTCACCCACTGTCCAAGCCTTTGAGGATAAATCAGGGAGAGGAGATTCTGAAGCTTCATCCTGTCTGACTGAGAGCATCTCCCTGGGGCTTATGTAGGGGAAGGGATCAAAGAGACCCCCACAGCACCTACTGCTGTAAGTGAAGTCTCACAGCCACCAAAGAGGCATGAGAAGATGTGAGCAGGGGCTTGAGAAAGGCTTTGACATCATCTGCCAGTATGTTCCCTCTAGCTCTTCTCTGACCTGGCTGAGATTCTGCAGACGCTGGCCTAGCCTGCTTCTAAGAGGATTGGGGCAGGTGATGAGGTAGACTAGGTCAAGGCCAGGGAAGCCTGCTAAGGAGAAGCCCAGGGACTGAGAGGGAGGGAGAGAAACCAGGGAAGGAGAAGGAAGGGGGAGCATGGATCTACGCAGCACAGAGAGGTGAAAGGTGAAAGAGTAAGAGGGAAGAGATACGGGAGGGGGGTGCTGTCTAAATGGCAGAATAATAAGACCACTCATTTACTCAGCGCTTCCTGGAAACTGGACTCGGAGTCAAGCGTGGAAATAGTACAACTCCACATAGTTTACACCCCACACACATGGAGCAGGTGCAGTTGTTACCCCAGGTCTCATGGACGTCCAGCTGCCACAAGTCCTTCTTCAAATAGTCCAAGGAGCAGATGAGCTTGGCACAACTCGATAGTGGAGGGGTTAAGAGCTGCGTGCTCCAACTGGGCAGCCTGGTTCATGCTCAGTTTGGATGTTTGCTTCTATTCTGAAAGGCACTTAAACACCCTGGTGTTTGGTGTAACCCCCTGTAGGCAATGGGATTAAATGCTGCCAGCCTCAAAGGACCTTTTGTAAGAATATTAGAGTATGTAGGACAGCTGCTGTCACATGGGATGTGACACATGCTGGGGGGACCCTACCTGTTCTGGTTTGAGAGCAAGAAACTCCTGCGCCTCAGTCTCCCCCTCTCTGTACCTCCTTCTCCCTCTGTCCCTCCCTCTCTCTCTTTCTGCCCTCGGTCTCCCCTCTCATCGTTCCTCAGTCTCTTTGTGGGTCTTAGTGTGTTCTTCTGGGTATAACCCTTACCAGGGTCTCTCTGATAAGCAGGAGGGCTTTTCATTATATCCTGGAAGTACGTCCCCACCTCCAACCACAGCCTGTCACATGTTTCTCCAAATCCCCACTAATTCTCCCTGTGTTTTGCTGAGGCTGGCCTGACCTAAGAGGATTGGAGCATTTGCTAAATGAGACCAGGACAGGGTAAAAAAAACTTGCTGTGAGTAGACTCAGAGGACAGGATGGCCACAAGGGGATGGCAGAAGAAGCAGAAGACAGGACAGAGGGAAGGGGCAGCATATTACTGGTGCAAGGAGTTAAAGGCCGTGGACCCAAAATAAAGACTTTGTAGATACAGACTCATATGCTAATGGACTCAGTTTATGACAAAGCTAATGATGAGCTTCTCAATATATTGACAATTGGAAATCCACGAGGGAAAAAAATAAAAATAAAAAGAATCCCCACCTCACACCATCGAGCATCAATAGTAAATGTATTAAAGACCTAAATATGAAAGGTCAGACTATAAAGATTTAAGAGACAAAACAGTATACTTTCATGACCATGTGATAATGAAATATTTATTAAATAAGAAAAAAAAAAAAAAAAAAAAAAAAAAAAAAAAAAAAAAAGCATTAACCCTAGAAGGGAAAAGTAAGAAAAACTGAGCTATTTTCATAGCAGTAGACTGGGCACTGTAAACTCTGGGGCTGCCTGTAACTACGGGTCCAATTTATGACAGAGGCTTTTAGGAACATTAGTTTTTAGAAACTTGCCAATTTAAAATGGGGCTTATTTCATAAAAGCCATTTTAGTTTTTATTAATTTTATTGTGTTTACAAACACATCAGTCTGTCACTGATGGATATGAAAAACAAAATAAAACAAAACTGGTTCATAACAACAGGTATTTTGAAAAGCATTGAGATACACAACATTAAAATCAATACATGCTACTAATATAAAGAATACAAATACAAAAGATACAAAAAATAACAAAGAAAGTGGGGGCACTTTAATTGCTAGGAAGATAGAAGAATAAAATCAGATAAATGAAGAAAAATGGGTAAAAAACCCAGACGGGTAATGAAGATTTCTGTTTGATTAACGTGTGAGAATTGCAACCTCCTGATCATCGCGGAGATGAATATTAAACTCATAAGGAAGCGGGGGCAGGGGCGGCGGGGACTCCGGGGCAGGTGGGCGCCGTGCGGCCTTTGCTGCGTCGCCGCCCCGACGAGCCCTGGGGCCGCTGGAGCTGCTGCCTGGACAGCTTGGCCCGCCGGTTCTTGAACCACACCTGGGGGGACAGAGGGGACAGGGCGGAGGTGTGAGAGGGAGGCGCCTCTGCACCGCCTGTGCCCCAGACCCCAGTAGAGGCCCCTGGGGCTCAGGAGGCAATGGGGGAGGACTGGAGGGGACAGGAGGGCAGAGCCTGGCATCCGGGAGCCCAGGGGCAGGGAGAGGACTGCCACAGACCGCCGGGGTTCACAGGGGACCCTGAGGTGTGGGCACGCGGGCGACAGCCTGGGCGCTTGTGTGGCGGGTGGTGCCAGCAGAGTTGGGCCGGACCCGGGGCCGCACGCCCCGGGCAGCGGGAGGGTGGGTGGGCAGGTGCGCCGGGCACCTGGCGAGCGGCGCTGGTGCTGCGAGGGGTGGGCGCGGCGGGGCAGACCTGCACTTGGCGCTCCTTCAGGTGCAGCCTGTCGGCCAGGGCCTGCACCTCCTGGTAGGTCGGGTACCTGTTCATCTCG